AAAAAAAGTTACAATAATACGGTACACAGGCCGAAACAAAAAGAGTAACAATAAGCTGATTAAACGCCAGACTGAAATCCCTCCTCGCGGGCATGATCCTCAGGGATAGGCTTATCTATTGGGCCATCCTCTCCATTTTTTAAGGAGTCGAGCACAACAATCTTACCATCTGCCACGTAGTAGAGGAATCCCATCCCGACCATGTTAAATTCCACACCTGGATTCAATACTCCGAGTTGCGCCACAACATTCTGGAAAGTCCCCACAACATTAGCCAGACCTTCATCTACGGCCAACTGGAGGCGGGAAACTAACTCTGCATGGGTTTTCAGACCCCTTGCCTCTTTCAACTCATCCTCGGCACGAGCTGCCTCTGCCCTCAAAGTAGAGTTTTCTTCCTCCAGGGACTTCTTCTCAAGCAAAAATGTGTTGTGCTCCTCAGTCACCTTGGCCAGTTTCTCCTTTGACGCCTTGCTCACAACATTCGTGGCGACAAGTTTCTCCTCGAGAGTCCCCACTTTGGCCTGAGACTTCCTCAACTCGCCCTCCAGGGATGTGTCTTCCCTGATATACGCCACAACCATTCCAAATACCCTCATAATTGCACTAGCATCTCAGGACAATATCCCCCTCTTACTAGGGCGATCCATATCTTCAAGCATCAGCAATTCAACTCGGGAAATATGCAAGGAGGAGCCCTCGGAGAAAGTCTTGTCATGGAAGCAAGGAGGCAGCTTAAACTTACCCTTTTCTTGCTTGCCTGTCAGATCAACTGAGCCCTCGATGCGCACCATTTTGAACCTTGAGGACACCGGCTAAGGAGAGGGGTGCTCGACAACAAGGTCAAACGATGACGTCCCTGAACCCACTTGTGGGGCTATCCCCGCGTCACCTTGAGAGCCTTTTCTCGACTTATTTTCTTTCTTCTTGGCCATGGCATCTGACTTGACCATTCGCTCTTGAGTGACATTCACCCTTCCTGCAAAAATAAATAAATGAAGGTCAGCAAACGAGGATAAAGGAACATGCATACAAACAAAATCTAAAATACAAGGTAACTACCCAAGTACGCCACAAGATTCCCAGATTCGAGGAGCTCCTTAACATTTATAAGACTCAGTTCAAACATGGGATCCCCGTCTTTGTATATCAAAGGCCTCCCAAATTTGCCCACACGCTGGACAGAAGGGATCCCCGCAATAAAGGCCGACAACCGGCCATAGCTAGCCTGGTCCTCAAGACCCAGTTGGTCCTTCTTCCAAATGTAATGATCGGTCCCACGATTAAAGTTTTTCCTCGACCAATGTAAATGAAACTTTGGCACCATTTTCACAACCGGGTTCCCCTCCTTGTTTAACGCTAGTCCTCCCTCATCGTCGACCAGTGGGACACTCCTTAAGATGTTCGACAACACCCTCTCTGACACGGGCTGGACTAGTATATACCTTTCCTTAAAATTCTGGACGGATTCGAGATGAAAGAAGTAAAAGAACAAAAGGTCAGTGGCTTATATATGTAGATAATCGTACACCATCTCGAAAGCCCATAAGAAGGAAATCAAATTGAGATGAAGCTGAGAGGGAGCAAGGAGAAGGTGCCGGAAAATGACCACGTGAAGATCAGAGAAGGGAAGCCGAAAACCCAATTCTCGGAAGAGAATTTTGTACATCAAAATATGGTTGGAATTGTACTTAGAGCATATACGGTGATCCTTCCCAGGAACATAAACCGCCCATTCCTCCTCGACATCTTCTGACTTTATCCCCGAAGCCACCAACATAAACACTTCGTCGGGATGCTCAGCAAAGTGGGAAACATTCTCCATAAAACCCGACGCAACCCAGGAAAAAGGATCCTCGTTAACCACGGGCTCACCCTGCGCTTTTGTGACCTGCTCTGGCACACCCGAGTCAGGATCTCACACCCCTAACGTACTCTCTTCGATTGACGTGTGTTCTGAGGAACTTTATGCAGAATCACTGTGCTCACTCATGAGTTATTCTTTGACACTATTAGCCATCATACCTGAAAAGCAGAGGACAAAAGAGAATTTGATATCGAATAAAATCTATCCTTCCACCATTAATCAAGTGAAAGGGCATGAACGAGGACCATTTCCCTAACCAGAGCCCTCACTCAAAACAGTAGAAAGAAAAACAAGGATAATTCCCTCTAACACATCAGGCACCTGACCGCCAAGACAAACTTTAGCTCGCACATGTCAAGTTCCTTCCCTGACTAACAATTTCGGACCTCGCCCAGGGACATTTCGTAAACTCAGGAAGTTCAAAGCAAAAAAACCCAAAAAATGGTCCAATGTCGCCGAAAAATTCATCACAAACCACCGCTGCCGACTTTACCACCAGGGAACACCAAATGGCCCCAAGGCGGAGCCTATATTCCAAGGTGACGAAACCACCAAAAATATTCCTATCTAAAGCTAATCTACCCCTAACTGCATGCATCTCTATAATCGCAATCAAAATCTAACCTAAAATAGGGAACATTTTGGCAAAAATGAAAGAAAATCAGTAAACTTGCCAGGTTAAGAGGAGACTAGCGGCGGAACAAGAAGAGATTATGGTGGTGGACGGCGGAAAGGGAAGGCACTTCGATAGAGAATGACAACATTGATCAAGATCCAGAAACAAGCAGAGAAAAAGCAAACAAAAAGTGAAAATGAAACTTCCTCTCTTCCTTTTATAGACTGACTTCGCTAGCGCGTGGGCGTACACGTGCCTAGGGGAACCTAAGGGTCATCATTATTACATCTTAGTCCCTATACTTGCCATCATTACACCTTTATGACAACACGTGGCTCGAGACACGCATGACACACTACTTCTCAAATTCTAATCACCTATTTGGCTCCCCGCACGCTGAACATAAAAGGACCACGTTCGACCTCCTCGACGCAGTTTTCCCGAGCACACCTAGAAGCATCCTCGACTTCTCGCAGGCTAACTCTAAGTCATCACTCATACGCCTAGGAGAAAAGATTTAGGGAGCTTCTGTTCTGGACTGGCCCAATAACTGGAATTGGCCCAATCCGCTTCTACCCTTGGCACGACCCAATAATGCTAGCCCAACATCCCTAGTCGACCGTGCCCTCAAGAGGCACGACCAACGATGCCCGAAATGGACACCTACCCAAAAGGACAACAACCTCTCAGTCTGCTCGACGCACGAAGAGCAGACACCTAGAAAATGCTCATAAGCACTTCTACCTGTCATCTCATCCTTGCTCGATGTAATAGCTAGTTATGGGCACGACTTCCCATTTTGAACAAGTCCTGGCAGTTACCTATTTTTATGGTCCCACATATCTAGGCCAAAAAATAGGGACCAATGGCCAAGCGTCGACCCTCACACATGTGAGGGCCAGGTATCCAATATTCAAACCTAAAACCCCAATATCTTTCTTGTATCTCTTTGCACCCATTCTTACTTGATCGTCAGTGTGCCTTGCAGGTACAATCTCCTTTTCTCCTCAACTTTTCAGCCAAGCAGACATCATCCTTCGGCCTACTTAAAGGTTCTGATCAACCGGTAAGATCAGCTACAAAATGATGCTTAACTTTCTCCAATCCACAAAAAATGCCTGAAGGTAAAAAAATCGATTAAACAAACCATAAAAAAGTAATATCAACAAACCTGAAAGTGTCATGTTTAGCTATTTTTGATCAACAAACCTGAGCATGAGGATAAGAGCAAGAAAAACATTTCCTTTTTTCGTGTCGAGTTGTGACGGTCGAAGAAGGAGAATCGAAGGCCGACGACGATGTTGCTCGAAACAAAAATCTAACTGGTTCAATAGAAAGGTCGGGAGGTGAGGAGTATGAATATGTCATTGATCTATCCATTGTTGTGGTAGAGGTCGTAGATTGGACGGATAAATGGGTGTTGATATTAGGGTTTAAGGGGAAAGAGAAAGAAGAAAGAAAACAGAGAGAGAGAGAGAGAGAGAGAGAGAGAGAGAGAGAGAGAGAGAGAGAGAGAGAGAGAGAGAGAGAGAGAGAGAGAGAGAAGCGTGAAAAGTAAAAATACATACTATTGATGACGTGGTGGAAAAGAGAAAGAGAATCTTATTTTTTGAATTAAAGATGAGTGAAAAGAAGATAATGGCGTAAATGAGTGGCCACTTGACAAAATCGATCTTTTTGATTGCGTAGTACAATTTGATTTAGTTAATTACATTTAAAAGTAATTTGTAGTGTAAAGTAATTATGTTAGAAAGGACAAATTAGAGAAATCAGTAGTAATTTCTAAGCTTAGTTAGATAGTTGAGATGATTATGGGTTGTTAATCAATTCATAAATTCATTTTCATCTACATATCATATTTATAACTCTACTATATATTTCTCTCTTTTAAGATATTAAAGAGAAAATAAGTGATGTACTGACACTTAAATTTTTTTATACTATCAATCAATCATGATCGTGAATCTCGTCAAATTAAATTATAATTTTTAAAAAACTTATATAATATGACAAAATAATATGTTTATATTAAATGATAAATATAAATAAAAAATTACACTTTTAATGTATATCTTTTAAAATCATTAAAGAGATAAATGACTGGTAAAAAAATATATTTTTAATATAATTTGAATGCTCACGTAATTTTTATATGTCAATCGGTGCATAGTGCAAGACTATTATTCTCATTCGTATTTTGTTATTGAACATTTCTAAACATTTACTTATTTATTACAAACCAAAAATAAAAAAACGAGAGAGATAAAGGAAACTGAGTTAGGAATGATTTAAGATTCCAACACGTACCAATGAAAAACGGTTTTTATCTTGTACCCCACTTCGTGCATAAGCCACAACATTAAACTCATCCACATCATTTATCACTCACTTCACTTTTTTTCCTTTTCAAACTCTAACTTTCCTACTCATCTTCAACTTCAAACCCATTACCTCTTCCACCACTTCTCCCTCTCTCTCTCTCTCTCTCTCTCTCTCTCTCTCTAAAACACTAACTCGATGGCAACGGCGGCCTGTTCAACGGACTTATCTCGAGAATCCTCCTGCCGCGACGGCTCCGCCGCATCCCACCTAAAACTAATCTCCCTCTTCGTCATCTTCCTCACAAGCGCCATCGGCATGTCAGCCCCCGTCCTCCTCGCCCGTATCTTCCGGGGAAAACCGTTATACGACAGAGCCTTAGTTCTAATAAAATGCTTCGCGGCGGGAGTGATCCTCTCCACCTCCTTAGTCCACGTCCTCCCCGACGCGTACTCCGCACTCGCCGACTGCCACGTGGCCTCCCGTCATCCATGGAAGGATTTCCCGTTCTCCGGACTTGTGACTCTCATCGGTGCTATTCTCGCTCTGTTCGTCGACCTCGTGGCGAGCTCTCACGTCGGACACGCTGAGTATGAGCAGATCGGAGCCGGAGACAAAGAATTGGGAGTTGTTGAACTTGGAGGAGTTGGAAGTGAAAGAGGTGAAGAATTGGTTAGGTTGAAACAGAGACTGGTTTCGCAGGTCTTGGAGATTGGGATAATTTTTCATTCAGTCATAATTGGTGTGACTATGGGTATGTCACAGAATGTTTGTACTATTCGCCCTTTAGTTGCGGCTTTGGCTTTTCATCAGATTTTTGAAGGGATGGGTCTCGGTGGCTGTGTTGCTCAGGTTTGTTTCTTCTTCACACAATATTTATTGCTATTTTGATAGAAATTCAAAACAGTTTTGAAATAGAGTTGTTTCCTAGTGTGCCATTCTTTAACCAGTTAAAAGTAGTTGTGAGGAAAAGGACAGTAAGTGGAAAACATATAAATTTAAATACTATATTATACTATAGAAATAATCTGACATATTTTTATATACCATATAAATTTTAAATGGTTCAAAATCATATACAAATATTCAACCAACACAAATTAACTAAACACACAAAAATTGTAAAATAAAACATAGAATAATTAAATAATAATTTAATTATACTAATGTATAACATTTATATACAAAAATAAATATATAAAATATAAATTTAGTGGAGTATAATTTAATGTTTGATTTTTGAATAAAACAATGTAAACATTAGTGTAATTTAAGTTTTTTTAATGATGAGAGTCAAAGAGAATATCTATGATTCATACATGCTAGCTTTATTGGAGAAAGATTTGATTATAAAAAGAAGTAATGGTTTGTAATGTTTTTACACCTTTCTCCCATAATTCTGTCTCAGAAACCCATTCGTGTTAAATAGACTAGCACGACTCACACTATCATAGTCTTGTAGCTCTTGTAGCTAATTGTGTTTTATAATGTACAAAAGTAGTGAAATAAATAAATAAATGCTAATTCATATCATACCATTAATTGTATACGTGTTTATAATTACAGGCAGGATTTAGCTATGGAACAGTGGCGTACATGTGTTTCATGTTCTCAGTAACAACTCCATTGGGGATAATTTTGGGGATGGTATTATTCTCATTAACAGGCTATGATGATAGTAACCCAAATGCATTAATCATGGAAGGGTTACTAGGTTCAATTTCTTCTGGAATTCTTATATACATGGCTCTTGTTGATCTTATAGCAGCTGATTTCTTTCACAATAAGCTTATGAACTCGGATCCACGCTTAAAAAAGGCTTCTTTTGTTGCCTTAACCATGGGTTCTGCTTCTATGTCTATTCTAGCTCTTTGGGCTTGAACTTTTTTTTTTTTGTATTTTAATTGTGTTTAAATGTGTTTGTTATCTATAAAAATTGGTATTTGAAAGTAGGTAACTTGTTTCTCATCTTTATGGTTTGCTCCACATATCTGAAAATTTAAAATTATTTTTAAAAATTTTCGAAGATACATATTCGAATAAATTTTCAATAAATTTTTACTAAAAATTGGTCCGAAGATGCATCTGTAAATATTTTTTGGATAAATTCGGAGATGTATTTTCGAAAAACTTTTATTTCAGATATGTATCTTCGAAAACTTCCATGCATGCATCTTGAACAAAAATATTGTCTAAGTTTGTATTTTTTTAATCCGAAGTCATTTTAATTTGAATAACAGTGTCATAATCTTTAATTTGATACACACATTAATAAACACGAACATCATAAAATAAGGTAATGCATTAACTAAAAAAACATCTCAAAATATTACCAACATTGTTCTCAAAATATGGAAAACACTAGTAAAACAATCAAAAATACAATATATATATATATATATATATATATATATATATATATATATATATATATATATATATATATATATATATGTATATATGTATATATATATATATATATATATATATATATATATATATATATATATATATATATATATATATATATATGTATATATGTATATATATATATATGTATATATGGATATATATATATGTATATATATATATATATATATATATATATATATATATATATATATATATATATATATATATATATATATATATATATATATATATATATATATATATATATATATATATATATATATATATATATATATATTCGTACCTCATTAAGAATGAAACATGTTAGGAAAACTGCATCATCACCACCTCTCAAACAATCCAGACTTTATGCTCTCATATCAATCCACATAATATTATGACAGATTGGTAACACATCAACGACATAGTCCTCCTTGGCCTGCTCATTCTACAGGATCTCCTCATGAGTAGGCCTAGGTGGACGTCCAAGAGTGTCTGATGTCATGATAAGGTGTGACATAGTATATAATCAAGTCATGTAACCGTCAACATAATATCATCGACTTATGGCTGACATACTATGATACTTTTCTGTTACTAGATGGCTCTTGTAATCCTCTAGTATGTCATCAAGATGTCTGCAGACGAAGCTGTTAGGAGCAACCTCGAAGGGGGTCTCATAATGATCTGCACGAATCCAAATTGACGCATGCATCGTTCCGGAAGATACATGCACATCAAACTACTCCCGCATATCAGCCATTTGAAGTAATATGAAATAAGATCGAAGGCAACATTGTCCCGGTGAGTGGTGTACGGTGATCAGTCGATGTCATCATGCTGAGTCTTATCAATATACACACGAAATGGCTGCATAACATCATTATTTTCGCGCGGGTAATACATGAGATCACATGGCCAACCATCAGTATACCCTAGCATACGATCAAACTTGTGTATGCGGTGAAAGTGGAATATGATCCATCCTTGAAAATAAATAAGAAAAAAACATTAGTAACAGGTGTAGAAAACTTGTTTTCAAATTAATAGTGGCTATGGAAATCACCGCTAGTATGGTGTATGAGCCTATAATTTGCTTTATAGTCCAAAGAGAACTTTCGCTCATCTTGGAATACAAGTATATCAAGCATGCGGCCCCCAGTTCCAATCGTGAATGAAAGATAAATCGATGAAGTATTTAAGGTATTCCACATCGACGTAGGTTGCATTTTTTACCACAAACATGGACGTGTCAGCCAAGAATAAGAGGAAATAACTTAAAGCACGCTCCCGATGGTAGGTAACCTATAGTTCATCGCTATTGAGATCACCAACAAACTCCAAGTTTTGTTCATATAGCTCCTTCAAATATGCAAATTTGGCATGATCACCTTTGGTGTTCTCATACTACATCAAGGCATTCAGTGGGTCAACTCCTAAATAAATGACCATCATCTCCTAGGCCTCGTTGCATTTGATCCTGAATGATCAAGTAACTTCCCTCTGATGGGAAGGTGTAAAAGGGAAGTGACATAATCCAGTGTAATCGTCATCTCACTAATAGGGAAATGGAAAAATGATGTTTTTCTATGCCGTCTCTCAGCAAAATCCCCCTGCATGCCATGGCTGATGGTCTTGTACCCGAAAGAACATAAACCTACGAGACTGGAGTATCCAATGACACTTTGAAACCAATCATCCTTAAGCTGATAAAGCTTGTGAATCTTTCCAATGTGGTTAAACTTTAAACAGTCGCATTCATGTTAAAAAGAAAATATAACAGTATCAGTCGCATTTAATTTGGTTAACATTGAAAAATAAAAATCATTAACAAATATCTCTACGGACCAGACATGTTGAGTAACATGATCTCTATAGTATATCAGTAAAGAGGTGTCAGAGACCCCTCATGAATAAGAGTTTGCAAGTCGAAGGACACCATCATGTGCAATAGAAGCTTTCTCCTGGTCTATGTGAGCAGAGGAGAGTGCCCCTGGGATGAGGAACCCAGTGATAGACTGCTCCTAGAACTCTCTGATTCCCCATCACGAGGCCTAGGAACGGTTCCTCGCCTATCTCTAGCCTGCTCATTTTGAAGTTTATCCCTCTCGTGGCGAATGAATGCATGTTGGGTTTCACGTCTGAGTCTCATTCTATCATCATTATTTGTAGCCATTTTCCATAATAAAAACAAAAAAAAATACATTAGTTTGCAATTCTGTAACATAAAGGACCTGATTCAGAGATGCATCTCTGAAAACCAGATAGGACCCAACTCAGAGATGCATCTCCAAAAAAAGCTTGTGTTTTTCATCAATGGCAAAAACATATACCAATAATGTCTTAACAACCCAAAATGTAACCAAATCATTGTGCATGTCTGTAACAGTACCTATTTCAAATTTTAATACTACCTAATGCACTAAAAATAAACTATTTTCCTAATATAATAATCAAAAGTAAAAAAAGATTAAATAACAAATTTACTCAAAAAAGTATTTATGAGGATGAAAAATGTTGAATGTAGTATGTGGAGTGAGTTGGGATTAGAAAGATTGAAGTAGAGTTACTTCAGTTGCTTGAAAATTTGACTAGAACAATGTTTATCACGAGCTCCAATGGGGATGAACTAGTTTCATAAAATGAAGAAGGAAGAGAGGGAGGGTATGGAGCGCGTTATATATACATTGAATGCGTTCGGAGATGCATCTTCTAAAACTTCCCTTAATTTGAAAACAATGGATAATTTGAAGATGCATCTACAAATAAACCCTAACACACCCGATGATGCATCTCCGAAATAAATTTTGGCAAAGTGAGGGGAAATCAACAATTCGCGCTTAGTTTGTGTAAAAATAGTGTGTCCGGAAATGCATCTCCAAAAATTGATGGCATTTTTTACTTTTCACTAGGGAGGGAGAACATATACGGGTGGGAAAATAAATTGCCTTAAAAGTATCACCAAAGTTCTAAAAGGAAAGAAAAATGAAATGTGTTGCGAGAGTTATGTTTTAGACACATGTGCATAATAGCAAGCATATCTTATGTTACACCTATATAACTATTATAAAAAATAAGTAAACTATAATGATTTTTTAATACAAATCCAGTTATAAGTTTATATATGAAATTGAACCTTTACGTCTTTTCAATTAACCACTTATTATAGGTGTAATGTTTGAGGGACTGTTAATTGTTATGTCATAATGTAAGCTCAATAAATATCAAAGGTTTCATCCCATTAATTCCAAACTTGCAAATAGGATAAAAAGTAGTAAACGGAAGTAGGACGAGGCCTTCTGGCATATGCAAAGATGAGCTTACCATATCCCATTGTCTTATAGGGCTTGATGCGTCAAGCACGTTCTATGGCAATAACGAGACTTTCTTGATCATAACCAAAGAATCTAAAATCTCCCTAATTTACCAGCCAGGTCCCCTATATTAAAGAGATGACTAATCCACCACCCCCAGTACATGGTCAAGGCCCGACTGCATAAGGTTGAACATATAAGTGCATGAATTGGTCTCTCTCTAGGAGGGACCATAACTATAAATCTCCAAGTCAATAGTTAGGTCGATCCATTCACATATCAAAAACCTAAAGACTGTATCTTGGATAATCAATAGCAGACTCACCTCAGTTGTACTCACAAAAAGTATAATTGATGCCCACGGAGGTCACGTAAAACTAACAGAGGCCACATTATTTTCTTTAAATCTTTATATTAACTCAACTACTATTTCTCATTAGTAAGCATGATAAATAATTCCAATATTGACATTGACGAGGTCCTTGGAGGGAAGCACACCTTTGTGGACGAGCTACATCGCCAGTATCATTTCCTACAAGCTAGCATTCAAAACATCCAGTAACAACAACAATTGTCGATGAAAAAGAAGGCATATAGGTGATGGATTATCAACCCGTATCTACTGAAATCTAGGACCCATTGGTACCAAATCACTTTAAGTTGTCCTCTTTGGTGACATTTGACAGGAAGAGCGACCCATAAGAGCATGTTGCCGCCATCAATACACATATGACAATAATAGGTGCGACATAATCCCTCAAGTGTAAGATATGTTCCCGAATGTTGAAGGAGACGACATTGTGTTGGTACATGAACTTTCTCAGGTTCTGACCACCTACTAAGATCTTTCTAGAAATATGATCCACTAGTTATTAGTAAGCAAACACCACAAGTTGTCCACCATCAGTTTATTCAATGAACTCTAGGGACACTCTGAGTTACTACGAGAATAACCAACTAGAATTAATGAGGCCACCATTAAGGGGATACACCCCCGACATAAGATATTCATATGGAACGACCATAAGGCAAGACACTTCAATGAGTCCCTCATCTCGAAACCTGAAAAATCCAATCAACGTTAAAACCACTTCTCATAACCTATTCAAACCTACTAGAAGACCCATATAAAATTACATGTCACTGAACACCGAA